TGCCTATGATAAACTATAGAGTTGTCCTCAACCATTGACTGGATTACATTCTCTTCGTCAGCAGAGAAATTTCGACTTCTCTTTTTTCTTGGGGTGCAGGCGACATTTTGTGTTTTCATTTTTGGTAAACCGGAAGTAAACCAAAAACGGAACTATGGGATATATGGAGCTAACCAGTGACGTTAACCACACTGTTAAACTTTGACGGCGACGTTAGCTAACGTCATGACTAACCATGTTTTGAACAAGGTATGTTTAACGTTCGGTTACCTAACGGCCGGTTAAGGATTTAACCGGCCGTTAGGAGTTAACCGGCGGTTAAGATAACCGAGTATTGAACAACGGGGCCCAGATAGATGCTTCAACCAAATATATATCCACCCATGAAAACATTGTCCCACGTTGCGGCACGTCTCGGGGGGGGGGGGTAGCCTAATGGTTAAAGCCTCCGCTTGTCGCGCTGAAGAGCCTAGTTCGATTCCCCACATGGGTACAGTGTGTGAAGCCCATTTCTGGTGTCTCCCGCTGTGATATTGCTGGAATATTGCTAAAAGCTGCGTAAAACCAAACTCACTCACTCATTCACACACTGCTGCACATCTGAGCCAGTAGCATCAGGCAGGTACGACATGTTTTATTTTGAAATGGTGGAAAGTGGGATGTCACTACTTTCACTTGGTTATTTAAATACTTTGAGCAAATGTTTTAATATGTTCTCGGAAATTGACTTAATGTATCTTGGAAAATTGATATTTGCAGTAAGATTGTAATCAATTTGTCCACTTTACTTGCCCTTTAAGTGGAGGAAAGCTCTTTGAAACTTAAAACATGACAGGAAATTGCACTTCTGTCTATTGATTTATTTAGTTACAATTTTGAAATCCTCTTAGGGACGCAAAAATACTTACTGCTTAAGTTTATTAGGTTGTTATTCATTTAATATTTTTGCTAGTTTGAAGAAACAAAGTAAAACTGCTAGGGCTGGGATGGGTAACCCCGGATACCCGGGACGGGTGGGTAATATGTTGGACCCGGGTACCCATCTCAATACCCGGTCCTGTTATCATCATGTGACTAATAGATTAAACAATGTAATATGTTATTCTTTCATGATTAAAGGGTTGTATTGTCTTTGAAGATTTAGGCATAATGACAGTCACTTCTTTTGAATGTAATGCATGGTTAAGATATTGAAAAGCATGATATTTTAGCATCCGAGCTGAAGAATATACAAATGTATTGCCATTTCTTACAAATTTCTTACAAATTAACGTGACAGGTATCCGGGTAGGTTAGGGTAATAGTGGGTGGGGTACCCGGGTAGAAAATTTGGACCCGTCTCAGCCCTAAAAACTGCCATATTTCTGTTGCATTTTCAGTGAAGCTGGTAAAGTGTTGTGGTCCATTGTATGCACAGTTTACCTTTAGCCTGCTGATTTTGTTTGTCTACTGGAAAATGTTAGCAGAAGGTGGAAAGGAAAAATGAAAATAGAAGATGTGTCATGTGTCTATTTCACAAATTTAGTTTCCTGATCAAATGACAAAAATGTTTGTATTTTTTTTATGAATTTGTAATGAAGTCAGGAGGCTACTCTGAAGCATGGTCCATGGCACTGTTGATGTAGAAATATCAAGTGGCAGGAACACATATGACAAGATTCTAAATAACAGACTAGACTGAAACCCTACACCTGTAGGAGTTATGACCGACATTGTGGGGGTTCCAGGTCTGAACAGGTACCCAGCCAGGGGCGAAGCTACCATTATGAAAAAAGGCCCGGGCTTACACATGATTCTTGCTAAGAAGGTTGGGCAAGCCCTCAATACTATCTAAATATAAAGCTTTGCAACCTATCGGGCTTACACGAAAAAAATGGGTTGCTACGCGCCTGCTAGCTACCTGGTGACGAGGCGACCATACAGGTGGAATGTGTGTCCGGTGACTGTTGATGGCCTGACACCATCCCCTACGTGTATCACTGCCCACAACATCAGTCACAGACTCCATGTATTGATCACTGGATTGTCTGGTCCAGACTCCATTTATTTACAGACCACCATCATATAGCTGGAATATTGTTGAGTGTGGCATTAAACAACAAACCAACCAACAGCCAGGTAGAAGCATTGCTGACCGCAGCATTAAACAACAAACCAACCAACAGCCAGGTAGAAGCATTGCTGACCGCAGCATTAAACAACAAACCAACCAACAGCCAGGTAGAAGCATTGCTGATCGCAGCATTAAACAACAAACCAACCAACAGCCAGGTAGAAGCATTGCTGATCGCAGCATTAAACAACAAACCAACCAACAGCCATGTAGAAGCATTGCTGATCGCAGAATTAAACAACAAACCAACCAACAGCCATGTAGAAGCATTGCTGATCGCAGCATTAAACAACAAACCAACCAACAGCCAGGTAGAAGCATTGCTGATCGCAGCATTAAACAACAAACCAACCAACAGCCAGGTAGAAGCATTGCTGATTGCAGCATTAAACAACAAACCAACCAACAGCCATGTAGAAGCATTGCTGATTGCAGCATTAAACAACAAACCAACCAACAGCCAGGTAGAAGCATTGCTGATTGCAGCATTAAACAACAAACCAACCAACAGCCATGTAGAAGCATTGCTGATCGCAGCATTAAACAACAAACCAACCAACAGCCATGTAGAAGCATTGCTGATTGCAGCATTAAACAACAAACCAACCAACAGCCAGGTAGAAGCATTGCTGATCGCAGCATTAAACAACAAACCAACCAACAGCCATGTAGAAGCATTGCTGATCGCAGCATTAAACAATGAAGAAACTAACCACTAAACGCTATGTCAGGTTGGGCCTCTGCTGGCAGCTGCCAAATTCTTAACTGTTGCCACTAATGAAGAGCTGCTCAAGGTGTCTAGGAAATAAGATTCTCAAAAAGATTGTGATTTATCAGCACTTCTGAAGCCTCTTGGCACACTCATTCTCTTACAAGTTTGATCCACTAAAATACATATACAACTAGCCTTGCTGGTCCAACGCTGTACGGAATGCTGAGCCCATGGATGAATAGTAATTTTATCCTTCGAAGAGGCAAGTCTAGATAAGTGGACAGTACCTCAGTCTTTTATTTATTATTTTTTTAGAAATTATCATTTTAACTATTAATGTTTGCCTTAGGGACTTGTGCAAGTGTAACATACCTAAACCTATGTTGCTTGAATTTACATCGTTCTGCACAGTGCCTTATGTTTGTATTTAAATCAATCAAATCAAATCAAATATTTATTGTGCAAACGTTCCATACAGAAACAGTGACAATATTCTATAAACTACATAAACAAGATATGTAATGAATCACATATATATGTTGAGCAACAAAACATATAATAATACAAATGTGTATAATAAAAATAATAATGGCCTAGCACAATCAGATCTTCTATATTTGTTTAAAGTTGTACATGTGGTAGCAAATAATTTCTATACTATTTGGATAATTATTTCTAAAAAGGAGGTTAAATTTTTCATTGGTAGTAAGTCTGAGAAAGTTATATATTTTAGAGGAAAGGGAGTTAAATAAGGACTTTCTTGCATCTGAATATTTAGTGCAACACATGAAATGGTGTGCTTTATCCCCAAGGACAGAGCATTGATCACACAGACAGTCCTCCAAAGGTGTAATGGGGCTTGTTCTCCTACCCAGTTCAATTTTTAGTCTGTGATCACTCAGTCTTAGTTCTGTGAAGTGGATACGGTGTTTTATTATCTTGCAGTGTTGCAGGTATGGTTCAAAGTTGATTTCAGATTTAAATTTTCTATATGTTCTAAGTTTGTTCCTTGAAATTAATGTGTTTGGATTATCTTGAACAGATGAGTGGAACATGTCTGTAAATTTCAGTTGGAGGTCCTTCAGTACAGAGGAGGAAGTAAGATTACTTTCCTTGATGTTAAACTTATCTAAGAGGCAACTGAGTTTATAGTACCATCCAATTTTGTGTTTGGCAATCTTTATTGATTTATTAAAGGCATGTTTTAAAATGGTATTTGGAGATTGTAAAATATGAGTGTTTATAAAAGCAAAATCTTTAAGAAGGGATATTGTGTACACAGCGACTAAGTCAAAGTAATATTCTGGAGCTGAGAGATTTTTCTATGAAATATGAAGCAATTGTGATGTCATCCTGTTGTTCTCAAATTTGTCGTCTTTTCTATATGGCAGCCAACTCATTTGTTAATTCACATGTCCAAGGCTCAAAGAACTTCTAAACTGACAAGTGTGACATAATCAAAGATTTGTGAGCTTCTGTAAATATGTTGATTTTGAACACTGATTGCAAGTCACAATGTTTGACAGTCAAGCCTGCAACTTCAGTGACATGTTTTGTATGGTAAACTTGTTTCCCACTGAGCCACCCAGGTAGGGGATAAACGAGTCTTCAATCTGACATGTCATGACGTCAGTTGTCTTCATGCTGCAAATGGTCTTCCTCTTGCCCTGTCATCAATTCATTCCACAGCGAAGTAAAGCTATAACAGACTCAAGGAACCACTTGATATAGTTCATTATCACTGTAGTTCTTTGGACACATTTTTATTAAAACAACAGGAAATGTACATTACAGACAGTTTACCTTAAACCTACTGTAATGTCTCACAGTGTCCAAATATTTTCTTCTTTCAGATATTTCTTGTATTTGAAAGGTTCCTCAATTACCAGTAGTTAACACATTCTTCTAGTTAAAATATTTAAAGTGAACCTTTCCCTTTTCTTGTGGTTATAACATGTTCAACCCAAACCTCAGAGTCTTGTTGTAACTATAACTGAATTAACGTCTATTCAGTCAGCTGTTTCTACTGTATGTCAAATACCATTAACCTTCACTCTTTTAGAAAGAAATTACAGGAATTGGAAATTTTAATTCTGATTTGTGTGATATGTGTTTTTGAAGTGCCTGATACATCTGTCAGACTGAGGTGTTCACTGACTCGGTCTTGTGTTTCAGTAGACCAGAAGAGAGGATGGAGGGACGACGAGAGAGCAAGGGGGACGTGGATTACCTGGACCCCAGCGCTGTTGGGACATACAGGTAGGTGTGACAGATTACCTGGACCCCATCGCTGTTGGGACATACAGGTAGGTGTGACAGATTACCTGGACCCCATCGCTGTTGGGACATACAGGTAGGTGTGACAGATTACCTGCACCCCAGCGACTTTGGGACATACAGGTAGGCGTGACAGATTACCTGCACCCCAGCACTGCTGGGACATACAGGTAGGTGTGACAGATTACCTAGACCCCATTGCTGTTGGGACATACAGATAGGTGTGACAGATTACCTGGACCCGGTCGCTGTTGGGACACACAGGTAGGTGTGACAGATTACCTGGACCCCATCACTGTTGGGACATACAGATAGGTGTGACAGATTACCTAGACCCCAGTGCTGTTGGGACTTACAGGTAGGTGGGACAGATTACCTACAGTGCTGTTGGGACAGATAGGTAGGTGACAGATTACCCGGACCCCAGTGCTGTTGGGACACACAGGTAGGCGTGACAGATTACCTGGACCCCAGCACTGTTGGGGTATGAGGGTTGGTGTGCCAAGTGGGGTGGGTACACAGTGAGATGGACAGTGTACTGAGGAGAACACAGTGTTTGGTAGGGTAGAAGTATACTGGGTTCAACTGTTCATGTTTAGTCCTACTTACATCAGCAAGAACAGCTACATGTCACTACTGTGGATGGTCATCAGCTGTATGTTGTTGTCAAACTCAGGTTTAGATTGTTGTCCCTTCCAATCTAGCTCTTCCATCCTAATAAAACTACTCGCCAGATGTTGTTCAATCTGCATGGTAAACACCTAGTTTACCAATTTGTATGCAAGATGTGTTCAGTGAGAGTCTAGGTGAATGTGAATTAGGCAGCAACAAGTATAGGAAGTATTGGTGCCACAGAAGGGACTGAGATGGGGAATGTCTTAGACCTGCATTGGGCTCACTCACTCACTCACTCACTCACTCACTCACTCACTCACTCACTCACTCACTCACTCACTCACCACCCATTCTTCTTGTGAAAACTAGTTTTGCACACAGAAACTTGTTTTGCACACAGGAACTTGTGTGGACTATTTGAGCTCCAGTCAGTGCCAGTGTCTCTGTGTTGCCTGGAAGAGAGGAAGTCTGGCCAAGTCTTATCACACTGAAACAGTATATCTGCTGTCAGAAGATGATAAGATTAAAAATCCAAATCTGAAAGCCCCTGCGATGTCTGGGAATGTATCATGTGGATATGACATACTCTACTTTGTCTTAGTTAAGTAATAGATTGATACCGACATAGAGGCAACTTGGAACATGATTTATTCCTGGGCCACAGCGACATACTTGATGGATCTTCACCCGAATCTATAGAAAATATAGGCATGGAAGGAGTAAACTTAGAAAAAAAATAGAAGAAAAATGTTCAAAGCATCTGTGTGTTTTAAATGTTGATTTATTTGATCATGAAATGGACAAGTCTATTCTCAGATGTGTTCTTGGAATGTCAACTGTTGATAAACAGCTGGTGCATTTGGTCCGTTTTACCATTCCTGAATTTGTTTTGATGTCTGACTAATCCGTGACTGTTGTTTATACTGTTATCCTGTCAGGGGTAGTGATAAACTGTGTATCACCATCCGATAAATATGTAAATGGCCATTCAGGAACTACTTTCATTTGGCACTGTACACTATTCTGGTGTTCCTCAAAACATGTTCGGTTATTCTTCCCTCTGTAAATTGGTCTCCCAATGTGTGAGTGCTTATGTAATGAAACTATCTATGTTTAAATACTCCATTCCACAGTTTATGGGATGCATGAATATTATCGTTTAATAAGATGATGTTTGTTGAATGAGATACAATCGACTAAGATGTTTTGATCCAGGCTTTATTGAATAAAACATGCTTATGCTTTCTGTTCCATGTAGATGGCACACAACCAAACATTTGTCTAATATTAGCTGTTTGAAGCCTGATATCCCACACAGAGAGTTTTATTGACAGATATGGAATGTGAGATTTTTTGTCATAAAAACTAATTAGTGATATTTTGAGAGTATTATAGGCAGGTAAATTCTAGATGTGAAATGATGTCAATAGTTGAGGCTTACGTTGTGTGGGTGTCAGATAAGATAACATATTTATTACATGGCATTCCATGAAGGAACAGTGGCAATATTCTATAAACTACAAATATAAACACAATAGGTACAAAGATATAGAAATACACAGATACATTCCACATATATATGAGGGACATAATGACAATTCCATTTTGAAAACATGTAGTGTGATGATATGGAAACAATATTAGCAGTGAGGAGACTGTCGTAATACAAGGAATCTACCGGTATTATAAATTGTAGATATGATGATGTAAAATGGAAATTGTTCCTGGACATCTGTAACAATTGTTAAGAATTGTTACTTTCTGCAGTGTAGCATTATTCTTGATCATGATTAAGATTGTTTCTTTGTTTGCTGTACTATATACAGGATATTACATGGTGTTGCTCATATTCTAAGATATTACATGGTGTTGCTAATATTCTAAGATATTACATGGTGTTGCTAATATTCTAAGATATTACATGGTGTTGCTCATATTCTAAGATATTACATGGTGTTGCTATCATATTCTAAGATATTACATGGTGTTGCTCATATTCTAAGATATTACATGGTGTTGCTCATATTCTAAGATATTACATGGTGTTGCTCATATTCCATAAGATATTTCTAAGCATCGTGTTGCTCATATTCTAAGATATTACATGGTGTTGCTCATATTCTAAGATATTACATGGTGTTGCTCATATTCTAAGATATTACATGGTGTTGCTCATATTCTAAGATATTCCATGGTGTTGCTCATATTCTAAGATATTACATGGTGTTGCTCATATTCTATATACATGGTGTTGCTCATATTCTAAGATATTACATGGTGTTGCTCATATTCTAAGATATTACATGGTGTTGCTCATATTCTAAGATATTACATGGTGTTGCTCATATTCTAAGATATTACATGGTGTTGCTCATATTCTAAGATATTACATGGTGTTGCTCATATTCTAAGATATTACATGGTGTTGCTCATATTCTAAGATATTACATGGTGTTGCTCATATTCTAAGATATTACATGGTGTTTGCTCATATTCTAAGATATTACATGGTGTTGCTCATATTCTAAGATATTACATGGTGTTGCTCATATTCTAAGATATTACATGGTGTTGCTCATATTCAAGATATATATTCTACATGGTGTTGCTCATATTCTAAGATATTACATGGTGTTGCTCATATTCTAAGATATTACATGGTGTTGCTCATATTCTAAGATATTACATGGTGTTGCTCATATTCTAAGATATTACATGGTGTTGCTCATATTCTAAGATATTACATGTTTCGCAGAGATACAACTTGTTCAAGTGGAGTTGCATGTTTTGTACTTGTTTCATTTTTTAGTTGATTGCTTAATCGTAGTTTTGAGAAATGGGATCTATGAGCTTTGTTTTTACAATGAAATAGATAATTCTCAAGTTTTATAGATGACTTGATCAATCTGTATGTTCTTTACTTGTTTGTTGAAAGAGAGTCACAAAATGGACGTTTGAACAAAGCTTTACAAAGGGAGATAACTCTTTACAAGCTGAAAGGACAAGGACCCACTGCTGCCATGGCAGTTCAGTGAGGACACTGAATAAAGATGAATAAAATCACTGGCCATGAGCTGTCTTAGGAGGTGAGGTGAAATTGGGTTTAACGTCGTGCTGGAGAATATTTCGCTCATATGACAACGTGCATGCGTATATATGTGTATGTGCGGCTGCTTGTACTAGCCCAGACTTAAGCTGGTTTTATAGTGCTAGCCCACTGAGATACCATGCCGCAGTGAAGCATGAATACCCCACTCAGACACATTATACTGACTCCGAGCCAACCAGTCCTTGTTGTACCCATTAATGCCGAGGCACCAGGCAGGGACCAACAAGTACCATATTTTAACGTCTTTTGGTATGACGCTGTTGGGGATCAAACCCATGACCTTCTGCTAACCGCTCGGACGCTCTAACCACTACACCACAAAGAGAGCTGTCTTAGGAAGTGGTTGTACCTTGACTTACATAGTCCAGGGCCTCTGAATAATTATTAGTTTAATGGTGCTTTCTAGAAATATGGGAGTCATCTGAAGTAATAAATGTTTTCATATGCAGAAATGAAAAAAAACCCCAAGAATTGGCTTATATTTGTTCACCAGTAGTTTTGATGATGGCAATTTAAAAACAATGTAAAGAAAACTTGGCCCTTATGTTTGTCTCAGAATAAATTAACATTTAAATAAATGTTTTAAAAATTATCCCAAATTCACTTCTTGTTTGAAATTCCACTTGTTTTGAGTAAACATAAATTTAAAATTACTGATCATTGAAATAGTATATTTTAGAATTGATGATTTTTCAAACTTTTAGAATCCTTTCTTGTATACATATATTAAACGTATGAAATGATAAATCCTGAAATTTGTGTTGCACAAGATGTAGATGCTGAAGACCATGAAACTGTTGTGAGGTGGAGAGGTCACCAGTCAAACAATATACACTTTCAAGCCATTGATGAAGGGACAAGAAATAGCTCTGAAACATTTTAAAAGAAATAAAAGTAGTTGTTATCTCCTAAATGTAATGTATCCTTCATCCCTCAGTTTTAACTTACTATAAAAGACGTAAATAATAAGTAAATATGTTTGCTTCTAATTTCTAAATGCTGTTGTGTGGTAATTGTGCACTATGTTCTCCTTAAACACCTGTGAGAGTGAAAACTGATGCAAAACATGTGAGATCGCATTCCAACTTCGTGATTGGCTACTCCAGAGGTCAGATTATACAGGCTACTCCAGAGGTCAGAGGTCAGATTATACAGGCTACACTTAATGTATTGATAAGTTAGTTCATGCGTTGGTCGAACTCATGTCTGTATCAAAAGGTTAGGTATTTAGAGTTTTAATAGAAGTTCTCAGGCCTTATATAGTTTTCTTCATCATCTTTGCCTTGTTAATCTGCAGGTATGATGAAAACGTTCATGTGGAGGGACACACCAGGTAGGATTAGTAAGTGGTAGGCTGGATGACGTCACAGGTGAGGTGAGGTGAGGTGAAATTGGGTTTAACGTCGTACTTGAGAATATTTCGCTCGTGCGACGTGCATGCGTGTGTATGTGTGTGTGTGGCTGCTTGTGCTAGCCCAGACTGACGCTGGTTTTATAGTGCTAGCCCACTGAGATACCATGCCTCAGTGAAGCATGAATACCCCACTCAGACACATTATACTGACTCTGAGCCGACCAGTCCTTGTTGGACCCATGAATGCCGAGCACCAGGCAGGGACCAACAAGTACCATAATTTAACGGTTTTTGGTATGACGCTGTCGGGGATCGAACCCGCGGCCTTCCGCTCTCCGGGCGGACGCTTTAACCACTACACCACGGAGGCGGTCGGATGACGTCACAAATGTACATTGTGTTATATTATGTTTTACCATAATCATGAGATAGACAAGATATATCTATATTCCATTGAAACAACACCCCTCCTCTTTTATGATTGTAGCAAGGTTACCCATATATGGCAGAAACTCCAAGATTGGCTAAATGATAAACTGGTTTTAAATTTGAATTTCACAAGACAACAAATTCTTCTTGGATTCCGTCGTAAACATAACGACCCAATTATGTGATCCTCATCATTTTCAAAAGTAATATTTTAATCATAAAACATCTGGAAATATGCCAACATTTCAGTTCATGTTGAAAAGGCTTACTCAACATTACAATTTAACCAAATATGCAGCTATGTTATGCTCCAGAATCGACACTTTTTACAAATTCTGGTCGGCATGTCACAACCTGTTCAACGACTGATTTATTTTGTATTGTCATTGCTACATGCTCTGTATAACCTCTATACAGAGGTAGCCCTCTACCCTGCATGCTGGAGCCCATTGCTACATGCTCTGTATAACCTCTATACAGGGGTAGCCTTGCATGCTGGAGCCCATTGCTACATGCTCTGTATAACCTCTATACAGAGGTAGCCCTCTACCCTGCATGCTGGAGCCCATTGCTACATGTTCTGTATAACCTCTATACAGGGGTAGCCCTGCATGCTGGAGCCCATTGCTACATGCTCTGTATAACCTCTATACAGAGGTAGCCCTCTAGCCTGCATGCTGGAGCCCATTGCTACATGCTCTGTATAACCTCTATACAGAGGTAGCCCTCTACCCAGCATGCTGGAGGCCATTGCTACATGCCCTGTATAACCTCTATACAGAGGTAGCCCTCTACCCTGCATGCTGGAGGCCATTTCTACATGCCCTGTATAACCTCTATACAGAGGTAGCCCTCTACCCTGCATGCTGGAGCCCATTGCTACATGCTCTGTATAACCTCTATACAGAGGTAGCCCTCTACCCTGCATGCTGGAGCCCATTGCTACATGCCCTGTATAACCTCTATACAGAGGTAGCCATCTACCCTGCATGCTGGAGCCCATTGCTACATGCTCTGTATAACCTCTATACAGAGGTAGCCCTCTACCCTGCATGCTGGAGCCCATTGCTACATGCCCTGTATAACCTCTATACAGAGGTAGCCCTCTACCCTGCATGCTGGAGCCCATTGCTACATGCTCTGTATAACCTCTATACAGAGGTAGCCCTCTACCCTGCATGCTGGAGCCCATTGCTACATGCTCTGTATAACCTCTATACAGAGGTAGCCCTCTACCAGCATGCTGGAGCCCATTGCTACATGCCCTGTATAACCTCTATACAGAGGTAGCCCTCTACCCTGCATGCTGGAGCCCATTGCTACATGCTCTGTATAACCTCTATACAGAGGTAGCCCTCTACCCTGCATGCTGGAGCCCATTGCTACATGCCCTGTATAACCTCTATACAGAGGTAGCCCTCCTCTACCCTGCATGCTGGAGCCCATTGCTACATGCTCTGTATAACCTCTATACAGAGGTAGCCCTCTACCCTGCATGCTGGAGCCCATTGCTACATGCCCTGTATAACCTCTATACAGAGGTAGCCCTCTACCCAGCATGCTGGAGCCCATTGCTACATGCCCTGTATAACCTCTATACAGAGGTAGCCCTCTACCCTGCATGCTGGAGCCCATTGCTACATGCTCTGTATAACCTCTATACAGAGGTAGCCCTCTACCCTGCATGCTGGAGCCCATTGCTACATGCTCTGTATAACCTCTATACAGAGGTAGCCCTCTACCCTGCATGCTGGAGCCCATTGCTACATGCTCTGTATAACCTCTATACAGAGGTAGCCCTCTACCCTGCATGCTGGAGCCCATTGCTACATGCTACATGCCTCTGTCTCTGTACCCTGCACCCTGTACACCCTGCATGCTGGAGCCCATTGGATAACCTCTATACAGAGGTAGCCCTCTACCCTGCATGTTGGAGCCCATGTGCAACTGTAAACATGGTATGAAAAAAAAATTGTAAAAAGGAAAAAGAAAATAGATATACTCCAGCTCAATGCTAAAATGGTGCAATTATAAGGTGTAAGAAATAGATTACTGCATTCGTGTCTGTCAGATACCATTTATCTTACAATTCCCATTGAAATGTATCCAACTTGCTTTCACTTGTAAGATACGTTTGAAACAATTCGTTGTAAGATAAATGGTATCTGACAGACACTCAGGTAGTAATCACTGTTTATCATGTCCTGGGTTTAAATGATGGAGTTACATGGCATCTTTACAAAGAAAAATACCTGTCACAAGAATCTGGGTCAACTGAAAACGTGTTGCAAAGACATAAAAATGATGTAATTATTGTCCCTACAGCAGATAAGCCTTTTGAAGCTGCATCAGAGGGGGTGGTGTGTTACAGTGGTACTAAATATATAATGATGTATGCTTACATTGTGCTAACCATCGTACACTCAGTGCATGCTTTAAGCGTTAACATTATTACGCCAGTCAGCGGATCAGAGTGCTCTTGAAATTTCATTCTGAACTCCCTGGGGAGTTTCCATAAATGTGTTTCTCATTCTTGATGAGGATTCATCTAACACATTATATTCTGTGCTGATCGATTTTAAAGCCCTGTCTTCTCCAAAGCTGAAGCCAGCTGATGGCTGTTTGCAAAGTTTACAAAGCATAACTCTGTGTCATGAAGCAAAGCACGGAATATATGGTAACAGGGAATATATTTGTGGTGTGAGTGTGAAATTATCTTCCTTATGTTTGATATACTGCACCAAAACACCACAGTTTAGATGTCCATAATTTTGTGTGAAATCAAATTACCAAAGGTTGTACAGTTGGATTGGTCATTAGCTAAGAAGATAATCCAGTACACCATTTTGTGATCTGCTTCATCGTGTTATCATCTGATCGCGACTCATCATGCAGCACTTGTCTGATGTACATCTCTCACACATTCTGTGCATAACTCAGTCATTTTACACTTCACCCAGTAATCCCTAAGTGATTTTCTTGCTTTAGAACTTATGAAGTCCAGAGAGTAACAGATCAGCTGTTCATTATATTGGGAGATTCAGATGCTTCAGGGCAGATTATTATGAGTTATAATCAGAAGTTATTTTAAGCAGGAAATGGAGAACATTGACAAGTCTTTACTGGGCCTCCTCAGTCATATTACCTGAGCTGAATATTACTTTGATAACCTGAGTTGTGTTATGCTGGCAGCTCTCAGATCTTGTGTTAGAGCATCATGGCATTCTGTGTGATGTCATGTTGCTAAGGGCATCATAATGGCTGTGTGATGTCATGTTGCTAAGGGCATCATAATGACTGTGATGTCATGTTGCTAAGGGCATCATAATGACTGTGATGTCATGTTGCTATGGGTATCATAATGTCTGTGTGCTAAGATGTCTGTGTGATGTCATGTTGCTAAGAGCATCATAATGACTGTGATGTCATGTTGCTAAGGGCATCATAATAGCTTTTTGATGTCATGTTGCCAGGGGTATCGTATCATAATGGCTGTGTGATGTCATGTTGCTATGGGCATCAAAAAAGCTGTGTGATGTATGGTAAATGACACAATGCAAGTGTCATGATGGTAGGGAGACAATGCAGGTGTCATGGTGGTAGGGACACAATGCAGCAGTCATGAGGGAAGGGACACAATGCAGGTGTCATGATATTAGAGACACAATGCAGGTGTCATGATGGTAGGGACACAATGCCGGTGTCATGATGGTAGTGACACAATGCAGGTGTCATGATATTACAGACACAATGCAGGTGTCACGATGGTAGGGACACAATGCCGGTGTCAGGATGGTGGGACACAATGCCGGTGTCATGATGGTAGGGACACACAATGCGGTGTCATGATGGTAGCGAACACAATGCAGGTGTCATGATGGTAGGAGACACAATGCAGGTGTCATGATGGTAGGGACACAATGCAGGTGTCATGATGGTAGGGACACAATGCAGGTGTCATGATGGTAGGGACACAATGCAGGTGTCATGATGGTAGGGACACAATGCAGGTGTCATGATGGTAGGGACACAATGCAGGTGTCATGATGGTAGGGACACAATGCAGGTGTCATGATGGTAGGGACACAATGCAGGTGTCATGATGGTAGGGACACAATGCAGGTGTCATGATGGTAGGAACACAATGCAGGTGTCATGATGGTAGGGACACAATGCAGGTGTCATGATGGTAGGGACACAATGCAGGTGTCATGATGGTGTGCAGGTGTCATGATGGTAGGGACACAATGCAGGTGTCATGATGGTGGGAACACAATGCAGGTGTCATGATGGTAGGGACACAATGCAGGTGTCATGATGGTAGGAACACAATGCAGGTGTCATGATGGTAGGGACACAATGCAGGTGTCATGATGGTAGGGACACAATGCAGGTGTCATGATGGTAGGGACACAATGCAGGTGTAATGATGGTAGGGACACAATGTAGGTGTCATGATGGTGGGAACACAATGTAGGTGTCATGATGGTGGGAACACAATGTAGGTGTCATGATGGTGGGAACACAATGTAGGTGTCATGATGGTGGGAACACAATGTCAGTGTGATGATGGTAGGGACACAATGCAGGTGTAATGATGGTAGGGACACAATGTAGGTGTCATGATGGTGGGAACACAATGCAGGTGTCATGATGGTAGGAACACAATGCAGGTGTCATGATGGTAGGGACACAATGTAGGTGTCATGATGGTGGGAACACAATGCAGGTGTCATGATGGTGGGAACACAATGTAGGTGTAATGATGGTGGGAACACAATGTCGGTGTCATGATGGTAGGGACACAATGTAGGTGTCATGATGGTAGGGACACAATGTAGGTGTCATGATGGTGGGAACACAATGTAGGTGTCATGATGGTGGGAACACAATGTAGGTGTCATGATGGTGGGAACACAATGTAGGTGTCATGATGGTGGGAACACAATGTAGGTGTCATGATGGTGGGAACACAATGTAGGTGTCATGATGGTGGGAACACAATGTAGGTGTCATGATGGTGGGAACACAATGTAGGTGTCATGATGGTGGGGACACAATGCAGGTGTCATGATGGTGGGAACATAATGTAGCTGTGTGACGTTATGTTGGAAAGAGTATAATTCATCTGCTGGATGATTGTGGAAACATGAGTTTAACAGATGAGTTAAAGTTTTACATCTCATTGGCATAGAGTTTAACATGGAATGTATTAGCAATCAACTTTTACATTTAAACGATTTTTATCCAGATACTCACTTTAAATCACTCTTTGTCTCTATCTGGTTTAGAGTTTAAGGGGGGTAACAGGAAGTCTTTAAGGAAAGTCGTCATGACTTTCAGTGTGTAGACAAGGTATCAGTCACCATGCTGCCCTGGAGTAAATCAGGAACAGTGTCAGGGTGGCAACTGAATCATTAACCCTTTACAATAATCTGTCAGGGGATGATGTTGGTCAGCTGCTGTATTACCCTCGCCCATGGAGGCTGCCAGCACGCTGTTACATGTGTATATATATACACTGATGGCTACAGATTCAGCAGGTGGAAACACCCCATATGTTGTCTGGTTTAGAACTGGTTGCAGGTAATGTGGCATCATGCAATGTATCCAAAGAAAAATGGAGGGAGGTAGGACTTTCTTTGGTTCTTATTTCATTGACCTTTCCAAATATACTGAAACAATAAGTTTACCATGCAATCTCTATGTAAAATGAAACTTTTGTACAATTATACAACTGTATTATAAACAAGTGTCTTATAGTGAGTGAGTTGAGTTTTATGCCGCTTTAAGCAATATTCCAGCAATATCACGGCGGGGGACACCAGAAAAGGGCTTCACACACTGTACCCATGTGGGGAATCAAATTCGGGCCTTCGGCGTGACCAGCGAATGCTTTAACCACTGGGCTATCCCACTACCCCCTAATTGTATTATACTATCAGCTACAAATCAATACAAATTAATGAAAAGTAAAATAGAGGTGTACAAGAGAATGGTAATATCGACATTGTCAGTGATAATAATATTCTCCTGACAGCAACTGAATGGTCGAGCTTCAACTATCCAGGGTGAAGGTATGATTGACACAACTGCTTGTCTGATACAATGTGCGATGATAAAGGCATGTGTTTGCCCCCCTGTATAGTGGAACATCCCTGCAGCAGGTTTCATACAATGCTTGATCAGTCTTTACTGTTTTAAATGATACAACATTGCACTTGACTCCAAAATCATCTAAATATAGTAACCTTCAGACTACTGCTAAAATTAGATAGTAATACCTTCTTGACAACTATTCATTGTAGCTGTTTTGGAGCCCTTGACTCCAAAAGCATCTAAATATAGTAACCTTCATACCACTGCTAAAATTTGATAGTAATACCTTCTTGACAACTAATGATTGTTAAATCACAAACAATGTCACACAATTACAGCCTTGTTTAACAATAAATTACACTGCATATAAAAGTCATGAGAAGAATACGTGGAAGACAAATCTGACAATTAAGGCCATAAATAATTCCCAGATCTTGGTGGCTACTGTCACAGAGAGTATTAACTGTGACTTGTCTACGGTATAATCATAATGTGACAGATTGTGGTAGGAACAGCAACTAACCAGTCCAGATCCACTGGTGGATATTTGTAGATATCCTGGCCCATGATTGACTTGGAAGCCAGGCATTAAACCAGGATAATGTCCTCATTAATGACTCACTCTGATACTTCTGGCAGACAATAACAGCAGCAACTTGACATAGCTTTGGGTACTGACAAGGTATCAGACGTGCTTACGCTCATCAGGTGTTGCCAGCATTTATATACATCACAGCGGAATTAGCAGACTGTGTAGTGTGCTGTAATGTACCACCAGTGTCAAATGTACACGACAAGTGTGTGACAATGATAAAGTGTATACCCAGTATTATGTTATATACAATACGAGTGTTATACCATGTACAATATCAGGC